TCACCCGATATCTCTTAGGCCTTTCATCCACGATACTACATTTGTATCTTTAGTAATGATAAAGATTGAAATTCTAATAAGCTGTAATAAGTATGCAGCAAAATGAAACTCGAACATTAGAATTTGAAATCAAAAAAATTAAGAATTCAGTGACTTTTGATACGTATCAATTTTATTGTAATTGAATGTTAACACTTTAAGACTTTATTTCAATAAAAAAAAACATTTATAACCTTTTAAATTATCAGTCAGTTTTATTTTGTAATTAACCTCTTAGGTAATTTTGTGTGGGACTGTTTCTCTGTACGATAGAATTTGACGCGAATTGCGCGTAAACGCAGCACTGTACTGCTGTCCTCTACACAAGCACATTGGAAATTATAATTTTTCTTAAAGATATGATGCATATACTTTAACTTCAATAATTTACTTTAATAATTAATAATACAATTGAGTGTGATATGTTTTAAAGCGCGGTACGACACATAGACCCACGTTACAGTTTTCACACTCATAGCGCGATAGTGTTTTTCAAATTACACTTCATTTTCTATTTTGATGCGATACTTTGAGTTTGAAGATTTTAAAAAATTATAAAGATACGGATCGACATGTTAAAAAGAGCATCTAATAATGATACATTTATTTTAATGAAAAGCAACAATTGATAGTGACACTGGCGTATCAAAAACAAAGACTATATATTCCATCTGTATATTTTCAACACTGTTATAAAACGTTGTAAGCAAAAAAGTATGAAGCAAGACAAATGAAAAAAATCATTTAGTTCAAACGGTGAGCGAATGAGTCAGTGGAGTGAGTCACTATAGTGGCGCATCGTACCTAAGAGTACCAAGAAGAGTACCAAAACTTCCATGATGGCCAATCCAAGCGCATAAGGAGGAAGCCCTGGAACCCGCGATAGCATTCTATACCTGTAGTCACAGACTACGGCGCGGTGTGCCACCTTCACACACCGCACCTTGTGACACTGAGTCTTACCCTCTAGTGCGTGAGATCTACCGGAAAGCGAGGTTGACGCACGGGGTGCCGTCCAGGATTCTTTCGGGATGGGATCCCGTACCCTCTTCCGCTCTGCCGTGCTATGGGGCATTACGTGCTCACAAAAGGAAGCAACAACCCCTCGCTTACCAGTATGACCTTCAGGGCGGTGAGAGATCCGCCCCTCGGGCAATGCCACAATGCGTGCTACGGCGACCTCGTGTCCCTCCTCCAACAGAGATGGCATCGCGTGGTCGCCTCTCTGCGTCTGCCCTCTGTATACTCACCTAAGCCCGGTGAGTACCTGTATTATCCTCTAAGTCAGCGAAACCCTGATCCCGCCTAACCAAACGCCCCAATTCGGCTGCACGGTCTCGACCTGCCGCACGACAGCGCCCGTCTCCTCGAGGCTAACACGCCAGGCATCTAGCAGGGTCTGCCGAGCCGGTGGTCTCAGGGCGGCAAGCACCGGGTCTATATCCCGCACATCACCTCTCTTGTGCTAAAATATATGTCGGGTGTACATTAGAATTAGGGTTAGGGGCGTAAAGCGAATCTTCGTTTGGATTACACGTCGTCGTTATGCAATAGAGAAGACATTGGCTAGTGCAAATACGATTACCATAGAACCGGACAAGTAACCGTGGTAATTAGATACTCGAGAGACTAATGACAATGATCCTAGGTTCAATAACGAATCCGCGGACAACGGGACGGTAGTCGTACGCACTCGCAAAATCTAAGTCGGATTCTGTGTTAATATTCGCTGACCGTAAGGAGTCAATCCTTTTT